TATTGCCCAATATAAAGTTGATGTTTTCCCCTGTTTCTGGGAAATTTAAGACCCTATAACAAGAATCTGGTGCTTTAATTATAAACTAAAAGTTCCTGTTAAAGGATTAATTATGGATGTAATAAGTTTACTGTGAAGACTGGCATGTTGAAACCAAGAGACTTTATACAAGCTCAAGTTTGTAATTGCTGCTTTCTGATTGGAGTTGCAGTTATACGAAAGAGGGCATGAGGACAAGCTTTGAAGCGATTTTACTGGTATGTCACCGTGCTTCTGATTTTCATCATGCCATAAAATACTCCGTTTGAATTTACATTGTAATGTCTATGATTCTTTATCTTTTGTGATAATACTTTTCACTCCTAGATTTCTCCATACAGTAGTCGAGCAGTCGTGTTTCATTGCTTTTATTTTGAATTATTGATATGTCTTCTTTGTTTCCTGTTTTATGTAGATTTGACTAGTTATATTCATTGCATTTAAACTTTGGAAAGACTATGCCGTAGTTCTGTTCAATTTTGACATGACAATATCTGCCTTTATTATGGAACGATAAATGCATTTTATTGGGGACTTGGTGCTTTATCTTCTGATAAAAAAAATAGAATACCTTTTAAAGTTTTAAGTTTCAAACGAGTTAGTAACTTTAACATTACGGCCTTTAGGACTTTGGAACTACTATGTGTAGATGTAAAATTCTAAAAGTGTACTTGTCCAATATTTGGTTAAATGACAAGTTGTTCCACTAGGAAGAAAAGGTCATTCATATGTGTTATAAGGCCTCTAATTCTTACTTTTCAATTTTAGGCTGTTACTCTTTCATTTGTATGGTTCTTTATTAGTCCTTTAACAAAGAAGGAAAAAAATTGTTCTTGTATATCAGCTTTTCGTTTTTACTTGTTCTGCTACAGCGTCACAGCTTGATTCATGCTTAAGCATCAGTGGTTAATATATCTGGTCCTTTGCTCAATTTTGTTTTTCATAGAATGGGAGGTTTCTGTATCACAAAGGTCTATAGCTTATGAAAGTGTTTATGTGTGACCACTAGTCGACCTGGCAGAAATTTACAACTATGTTTTGCATATGTAAAGAGGAGATTATGCATCAGGGAATGAGGAATTGCATCTTAATTTCTTAATACATGATGAATTCCTTTTTAGAGGCAGAAATTTTTTAAATGTTTTTTTGTTGCCTATGAGTTTATGTTGTACTTTTGCTACTTTCTCCTTTACCTGTATAATACCTATTAGTATTATCATCCCGTATTTACAGCAATTAGGATCATAAGAGACCATTTTAATTCTTGTTCTTTCATTGAATTTTCCATTTTCTCATGCAGGTCCAAGAACATAATCATCCTCATATCCTACTTCTGCAAATAGGGAATACTTTTTGCAAACTTCCTGGTGGGCGCCTGAAGCCCGGAGAAAATGCTATCATATTATTCTTTTTACTTTTTTCCTCGTACAGCATACCGTCATCTTCTCTCCATACGTCTTTTCTTGTGTGCTATTGTGGAAAATCTGTGCTGGTCATAACACCTATGGCCTTCCTTTTTTGACTTCAGAGATTGAGGGTTTGAAGAGGAAGTTGACCAGCAAGCTTGGAGCTAATTCACCGGCTCTTGTGCCAGACTGGCAGGTATATTTGTAGTAATTATCTCACCGGGGTGAGGAGGGCAGGTTTTCCCTCACACTTACCTTTGAACATTGCAGTGATATAGTTTGGGAACAATTTCTTTCAATGCTAAACTTTGTTCCTTGTTGTAGATCAGTGAGGCTGTGGCGATCTGCTGGAGGCCCAATTTCGAGACGATGATGTATCCATATTGCCCTCCCCACATAACAAAACCCAAGGTAATCTTCAACTTCATGTGTCTACTTATGAGCTATGCTATGCTTTCTTTAACTTCGTTTTATTATTAATATTGCAGGAATGCAAGAAGCTCTTCCTCGTTCACTTGTCTGAGAAAGAGTACTTTGCAGTACCAAAGAATTTGAAACTTCTTGCTGTACCGTTGTTTGAGCTCTATGATAATGTGCAGGTTAGGAGTATACCCTACTTTTTAAGGAAAAAAAAAGGATAAGCTTTATTGCTCTTCTGGTTTTTCCTTCTAACAAACAACATTGAAAATGTTGAACAGAGATATGGGCCAGTCATATCAACCATTCCCCAGCAGCTTTCTAGATTCCAATTCAACATGATCAGTACATGATCTTGGCATGGGATGTCAAAGATCATGAATCTTTCGGCTTGCTTCCTGGCAGCTGAATCGGGAGAATATCGGTTCGCGTTAAAGAGCTATAGCAGCCTGTACGTGACTGTATATAACGAGAGACTTGTGCATTACTTTGTTTTTGTTCATGGAGACTTTTACATTACTTATGTTCCATAAGTTGATCGACTGAGAATATGACGTATGGTAAACTCACGTACATCGTTTACGTACGATTGTGGCATGACTAATGTGTGGGTTGTAGTGTACCAACTTAGATGGTTTAATTTAATGGTTTGATTCGTGTTTAACAAGCTATGGTTGTGAGGTTTTAATGGGTTGTATTGTATGTCTTTTCATGTACAACCCGGGATGGACCTAGGGGCGGGTGGGGCAGTCGCCCTTGAAAATTTAAAATTATCTTATATTTTATATTTTTTTCTATGTATTTTCAATTGAAAATATGTTTTCTCTCCCTTTAAAATTTTATAAGTTGAAGTTCATCCCTCCTGGAATTTTAAAATTTCAAGTTCGTCCGTTCAACATAAAATCCTGAGTTTGTCCCTATATTCAACTGTCTTGCTCTCGGTGTAGTTGGTATGTTGAAAAATACTCAACCTACTAAATATTGCATGTATAGGTACCTAAAAGTTCAGTTTGATTTTTAAACATGTACATTTATAAATTTAAATTATATTTTTATTTTAGGTTCTCAAATGTTTGTCCTCTAAAATTAGATTTGACCCAAGATATATTAAGGGCCTATTAGACTTAAGTCGAGAGGCTATTTAAAAGTTTTATTATGGTTAAAATGTACCATTAGTTCTTATATTTTAGCAAAATTTAAGGTTCTATCTCTATATTAAAATTTTAACCCTAATGCTTTTTCGGTAAGGACAGGCCCACCATTAGTACCGTTGGTATATTTTATTAAATTTTTTGCTACCTATTCCACAAATTCAACATCCAAGAGAATCTAATAAGATAATCAAGGAAAAAGATAGAATTATCGTTGATAATTGAGATTTCGTTGTACATTATATTACTTCTGATGATACAATAGTCAATATATTTGGCACTTATGATCAAGTCCGTCCCAAAGGATGTGAGTTTTGTACTACTTTTTAGAATGAGACTCTTAAAAATATATGAAACTAAAACAATGTCATAAAACAACTCTATAGTCGTGATATTTTATTTAAAAATTGTCATTCTATGAAGGTTTAATGACCAAATAAGTGCCCAAACTATGCATTTTTTTGCCAAATAAGTGCCTACGGTTCTTTTTTATCCATCCGGGTGCCTAAATGTTACTCTTTTAGGTGCCCAGGTCGTCAACGCTGTTTGTTTTCCTCTTTAAGTGTCACGTATTAACACTTGGTAATTTGAAATTTATTTTGTTTATAAAAAATATAAAAATATTATTATGTTTATAAAAAAAGCCCTAACTTTTCTTATATTATAAAACAACCCAAAATACTAAATCTTAACCTTAATCTGTTGCCGTCGCCGACATAGTCCTTGACATCATCCTAGTTATATGTCGTCGTAGTTTTAACTGATTCACTTACGAAATCGCGTGTGATCACGATTTTCATCCTAGGGGTTGTGAAATTTAAAACATCGATTTGTGGTCGATTGATCATCAACCTGTCACGATTTTATAGTGGTTATGGTCGTCTGGGGGAGTGGAGGCCGGGTGGAGCTTCTTTAACGGTATAGGGCGATGATCGATGTGGGTTTAGGGTTTGAAATGAAAGTTTTTAAAGTTTAGAGGTTATTTCAAAATTTATGTTTTTTTTCTTTTTAAAAAATATATAATTTTGTTTTTTTAATTTTATATAAAATTTTTAAAATTACCAGGTGTTGACACCTGTCACTTAACGGGGAAAACTAACGACATTGACAACCTGAGCACCTCAAAGGGTAACGTTTGTAACGTTTGGCACTCGGATGGGCCAAAAGACCATAAGCACTTACTTGGCACAAAAAGGATAATTCAGGCACTTATTTGGGGATTAAGCCTTCTTTGAACGCTTTTAGAAGTAAAATTGTGATTTTTTTTCAAAACGTGCCCCCACCCCCAGATTTTGCAACCCTGTGACGTGTCACAAGTTACATTTGTAAATGGACGAGCCTACTTATGACGACCGTGTCAATATGATGACTAAGTTACCTCGTATATTCAAACTTGGGTTAGGCTTGGATTTTGTAGAAGAATTAGAGAGCTTGTTTGTCGATGTGAAGAATTGATTTTTTTTTTTGTTGAGCTTTGGTGTTTCATCAAATTTGAGATTTTGTATTGAACTCATTGCATCTTCAGAATTCGTGTCAGTGTGAAAATTATTAGAATTTGATCCGATTTCGATTTAACTCAAATTGATTGTGGAAAGTAAAAAAACCTAGTTTAATTGAAAGTAAGAAGTCTATTATATTTTACGTTGAAAGTAAAAAACATGTGTAACTAAGACCAAACAGAAATGATCAAGAAAAAGTAAAAAAAAATTGCATAAAAGTGCAGATAATTTTACATTATAACTACTAGCGTCCATTGTAATAAAAAGAGTTTTAAAAAAATGAGGAAAATTTCTTAATATCAATGCATGTAAGCAAATGTTCACAAATGGTAATAATATGCATAGGGAGAGGGTGAATGATGGAGAGAGTCGTTAGGGCTGCGATTGTGATGTTGCGGTTATGGATGTTGCAGATGTTAGGGCGTGATTTATTTACGGTGTCGCTGTCACCTTAAAAATTGTTACGATACGGTCGTTACACTGCGTTTTTAGCATGACCGGGCTTTTATAATGTCGAAACTCATTTCACTAGGATCTGTTGCCTGCAACTCAAGTTGAATGCCATCCGATTCCCTCTTGAATCTGTCTTTCGAGCTTGCACACACCATCTTACTTCTCACCCTCAATGCATCCGGCGCCCTGTAAATTTTGAGAGTTTTATTCGAATCCATGATGCATGAACGAATTCAATAATATCTATTACGTCCGTGATCGCGATAAACACGTCCCTAGAGTAATTCAAATCCCTGACCAGTACCATGCAATGAAGAAGATTTTGCTTTTCTGGCAGTTCTCATTGGTGGTGAAGTCGAAATTGAAGACCGCGTAGCGGCATTCGTCGGCGGGCAGAGCCGCGGTGAAATCTTTGTAGCTTTTGCCGGGGCCGCCGAGCTCTTCGACGACCACCTGCTGGTCATGGATCTTGAAAACGATGAACCTGTAATTCCTCTTGGCTTTTAGCTCCAAGAATTTCATTTTACATGCATCATCTATTGCCATTCCAGATGCCGCGTTCGCCTGATCCCATGTTCAAGATTCAACATTAATATATATATACATATATATATAAATCAAATCGATAGAAAATGTGGGGCAAAGGGAACTCACCATTTGCTCGTAATGGAAGCAAATTTTGGGAGAGCGAAAAGCAGGGTTTTAAATAGCAGTCCGTGACCGCGATAGCGCCCACGAAATAGCGGTAGCTTTGTCTTCCGATATACCATCTGCACCCGCAATATCGCCCGCTATGGCCGCAATCACGGTAAACACACATGACCGAAAAAGCGACCGCGATTTAAATCCCTTGTGAAAAGAGAGAGAAGAAATGAAGAAGGATGGGAAGAGATGGTTAGTTTAGGAAAGATATTGAGAGGAATAAGGCGGTGAAGAGAAATTTGAGGGAACAACAATGGTAAACATCTCTCCAAGCTTCAAAGGCCAACCATATCCACAACAATAACTTTTTGGGCAAACTACACCGGATACCGTCGAACTTTAGGTGATGTATCGTTTATATTACTGAATCGTTAAATCGTTAATAGCCGGATCAAAACGGCGTTGTTTTGATGAGACATCTACGTCGACAGCCGTAAGCCACTTCATCGTGCCGTTAAGGATTTAACGGTTCAGTGATATAATCGAAACGGAAATCAAAAGTTATTAAATGAATATAATTTTGTTCGTACTTATTTATTTAACAAACGAACATAAACAAATGTTACACGAACGATTAACGAACATTTTACTTAATGCTATATTCATTTACGCCCCTAATTATGTAGACTGAAATTTCAACTTGAAAATATTAAAATATTATTCAAATTTGTCCAAAATCGAGCTGGTTTCACCAAGTTTCCTTAAACATCTCTAAACCCCCAACCATGACTTTCATGGTCAAATCTTGAAAAAGATACTTGGAAGGGAGCTTAAAAGGTGAGGATTTTTATTCTTACCTTTAGAATTTTAGACAATGATTATAGAGCGAGTGGCAAATCCAGAAAAAATTTATAGGTTGGGCCAATATAAACATAATAAATTATATATATATCACTTATCGTTAAAAAAATAACAATGATGTTAGCATGATATTTTTTTTAATTATTTTTCAGTCATGACATGAAATTATCTTATGATGATACATCAACATCACTGCTAATTTTTTTAAAGACGAGACCAAAATATAAATATTATGTGTGATTTAAAATAAATAATAATTGAGTGATTAAAACATAAATTAAATAATAAATGGGTGACTTAATAAGTAATTTACCATTTTTGGAGGGGTCCATGACCTATGTAGGCCTAGGCCTACATACACTCTGTATAGAGTAACAAAGGTCTTAACTTTGATAGTTTAGTGAGAAGAGTTGAGAGGAAGAAGGTGAAGAAGAAGATAAATATGATGAAGATAGTGAGGAATGAAATTTTAGGAGGTGTTTGGTAAATAGTTTTTTTTTTAAAAGATCTTTTAGTTTATTTGAGTATAAATAGTTTATTGGTAGTTAAACTATCTATTTTTAGTGTTTTGTAAACACTTTTTTTGAAAGAATTTATTGCGTACGATAAACTGAAAATGAAAACGCTGAAATATTCAACGGTTTGGGAGAGTTTATTGTGAAATAAGATATTAAATGACATATTTGACCTTATTATTTCCAAAATTACATCCTTGCCATAAAACCTAATCTAATGAAATAGCCTCCATCTTAATATATTTTTAGTGACATTTTATTTTATTATTCTATTTTTTAGTTGTAGATTCTCAAATATATTTTAGTTAAGAAAATATAGAAAAACATGAAAGTAGAAAAAAATGTAGTGTTGATATTTTATACAAGGTTAATAGTATGTATCAATCTCACAAGGTTAAGTTTGTAAATATTAAATTTAAAAAATATATTCAAAATTTTCAAAAATATTCACTAATTTTCTTAAGGTAATTTTGATTTCTTGTTAAAAGCATTTTATCCGAATAATTCCACCCCAATAAAGACTAAAGTATTATAAAAACATATATGTACTCAACAATTAAATGTATCAATCTCTTATTTGTCATTTTATCCATATCAGCTATCAGCTAAATTTTACCAAACACTTCTATATAAACAATTTATCAAATCAGTTGGTCAAACCAATCATTGAAATCAACTATTAGCTATCAGCTATCAGCTATCAATTGTTTGCTAAACACCTCTCAGTCTTTTCTACCGGTGCATTACAAAAATTAAATGAAAATCAGCCTTAGTAACAACTAATGAGTAAATTATTTCCTTGGTCCTTCATCCTTTGTTCCCAAATTAAAAATATCTTTTTATCTCTATCTGGGCTCAACCCAAGCCCAAACAAATTCAAACAAGTCTTCTTACAAGGCTAATGGTTTATTAGAAACTCTCTCGGGTTAGCTCGAAACTATTAACCTAGGATTTGAGGTATTACATTATTCTAAATTTATTTATACTAAAAATATATATTATTTGGAAGTAAAAGGAAAAAAAGAGCACGAACCAAATGAAATAATCAGTGATTAAAGGGATAGTTGTTATCTTTAGAGATCTTAAGGTTAGCGTCAGCAGAAGCAAGATATTTAAGCGTTCATTGTCAAATGATTAAGAGTTTTTAAAATAAATATTATCGCTTGTAATCACTTAGATTAATAATTTTTTTATCAAACGGGTCTTTATTCATATATTAAAAATAAATAAATTTAATATATTATTTTTGAGAACACTCCAAATACATTTTATATTTACATAAATGGTATAATCTAAATTATAAATCATATGAAAGGGCCCAACCGGGTTCGAACCGGTGACCTATTGATCTACAGTCAGTTGCTCTACCACTTAGTTATAGACCCGTTGATATTGTTTTAACCCACAAGCCATGCTAGGGTTAATAAAATTCACCTCTCAAGCGAAGAAGAAGAAAAGGTAAATCAATTAACAAATTCATTAATGGTGGGCTTAAATGAAACGTTGTAATCAAATAAGTACCAAACTTTAATTTCATCTATAATTTTGATACTTTTATTAACGACGTTAAATTTTTTTATTAAACTAAGGTGATTATAAAACAATATATATTTTAAATATTTTAAAATTATTTGAGAACGCTTAATTACCCTGCTACAGTAGCTGTGCTCGAACCCGTGACCTCTAAAAATAACAACGATTCCTTTAATTACTGAAGTTAGTCAGTTCATGCATGATATTAACTTTTAAAGACAATATAAAATTATATTATTATATGTAAATGATGATATCTTCGCTTTTATTATTTTCTGAGTGTAAAATCATGATATTTCACTATTTTTCACTCTACTTTATTTTTTACTTTTCATTTTTCTAACTAGTTTGGATAGGGCTGTTCATTCGGTTAAAATCGAACCGAATCGAATCGAATTAATCATAACCGAATTAATCAAACTTTTTTTTTTCTTTAAACGTTAACCGAACCGAACTTTTTTTCAAATATATTAACCGAACCGAATAAATTTCGGTTAATTCGGTTAATTTTCGAATTAACCGAATTTTTTTTAAAATTTTCTAATTTATATAAAAATTAAATGTTTTTTAATTAAAAAAAGTTTATAATTAATTTAAATAATATATAATTATAAAATAAAAATTTCAGATAAATTTTTTAATTAATATTGATTTAGGTTTAAAAGTTATTGGATCTTAAATTATTAATTGAGTTTTAAATGGTTTGGGCTTAACCCATATGTTATATATAATATATATAATATTTTTTAATTAAAAAAACTGTTTACAATTAATTTAAATAATATATAATTATAAAATAAAAATTTTATATAATTTTTTTAATTAATTAATATTGATTTAGGTTTAAAAGTTATTAGATCTTAAATTATTAATTGAGTTTTAAATGGTTTGGGCTGAGCCCATATGTTATATATATAATATATTTAAAATTTAAAATTTAATTTCGGTTAATTCGGTTAATTAACCGAATTCGAACCGAATTAACCGTTAACCGAATTCTAAAAATTTTCTTAATCGTTAACCGACCGAACTAATTCGATAACCGAACCAAATTAACCGAACTAATTCGGTTCAGTCGGTTAACCGAATTAATTCGGTTATTTGAACACCCCTAAGTTTGGATAAGGATTTGTTTTAATTGTTAAAATAAATATGTGTATTCGACATTGAAACAAGCATTCTAATTCATGCGACGTTATTGATAGCTCCTACCCTTTTGGAACGGTGTAATTAGGGATATACATAGGTCGGATTTTGGTCAATTTGACCTAATCTGATATATATTCCCCACCTAAAATCCTACTCGACTCGGGTTTAGGGTAATTTTATCCCTAAAATTCAGCTCGTCTTTTGAGACAAAACCCGAATATGACTGATTCAACCCGATCCAATACAAATATATTTATAAAAATTATTAATTTTATTAAAAAAAATAGGTATCTAATTGAAAAATAATAATATGAAGAGGAGTATCATTACAATTATACCTAAATGTGTAATGTATAATTAATTATTTTTCGAGTCAAGTCAAATATTTTTCACCCTAAACCCCGAAACTAACCTAACCCGAATTTATCCTATTAAAACCTAACCTGAATTCGAAATAAAATTTTTTTTAAATCCCGAAGTAACAGGTCGGGTCGAAACCTTTTAGATTTGGATCTCATGCCCACCCAAGTGTAATCAACATAAGTAAAATCAGTGGGGGCGATCCTTAATGTTCCTTGAAGTGTGTGTCTCATCACGTCGTACAACACATTTCATGCAAAAGATATAACTAGTCCATGCGATGAACAAGCAACATGTATTTTTTCCTCCCTCCGGTTTAAAGTTTTGTCTTGATTAATTCGAATCGATCCGTGTCACACATCAAACTTTGATAGGTGAGTCTCCTGGCAAGAATTTTTTTGTACACACAAGAACTTGAACTTGAGACATTGTTTAAGTGATATCAAACTGTTTACCACTTAAATCTACTCATGTTGGTCTAACAACATGTATTTTAGTATAATGTGCAAT